TCCTTAGATGAAACTAAAAATCAGTTTCAAGCATACAGGTTAGAATTAAGCACAGAAATAATGTTAGATTGAATCATATTGTATCAAAGACTATCTCAGGCTTTCTGGGAAGGAGAAGAAGCAAATCATTATTGATCATATGCTTTTGGAAAATAAAAGCAACACTTTTAATGCAACATCTTTGGATTTAATCCAGTGGTGCTCAACCTGTGGGTCGGGACCTCATTTGGGGTCGAATGACCATTCCACGGGGGTCGCCAAACAACACAGTCCGCCATTTCCCCCCCTTTTCCTTAGCTGTGCTACTCCCTTTTATTCTATTGGCTTTTGAAAGCCAATAGAATAGACTCTCTTGAATAGAGTCTAATTCTATTGGCTTTCAAAAGCCAATAGGAATTGTCCAGGCTGTCTCTGCCCTGCTGAGCCCGCCAAAAGTCCCATTCTGCAAACGGTGCTGCACCAGTTGAGTAGTCCTCGACTTACGACCAGTTGGGGTTGCGGCATTAAAAAGGTTGAGAACCACTGATTTAATCAATTTAGAATATTGCCATAGTCCATAATGTTCTGCCACTTCCTTTTCCTAGAATTAATCATCAAGTAAATTGATTCAATAGGAAACTTACTATCTTGATGACTAGATAGTTCTCCATCAATTCATTAAGAAAGAGAAGATTCAAAATCTTTTAACTGGCAATGCTAGGAGCTGTCCTTGGGGAAGTTGATTTAGACAGATATTGAAGAAAAGATCTGTTCAGCAAATCTTTGCATTGTGAGATTCTTGGTGTTCTCTGAGCCTGGTTGATTTTTTTGCACTGATGATATTACCCATCGATAATGAAATGTTTGCAGGAAAACAACCAAGCTGAGAGAGCTCCAAGAACCCCATGGTTTAATTCTGAGCTACAAATATTCTACAAATATTAATAATCATTGCATTTTTTAAAATGTGTTTTGTTTTGAAATGAAGGGAGAATGTGGATGAAAACAACGTGGGCTGTACTATGGGTAATAATGATTTTGGGTGGATTTTGTCAAAGGTAAAAAATTCAATATGACCTATGTGCTGTTAGAAAGTGATACCATAGCCTGGAAGTTCAGCTGCAATGTAACTTCACTGTTCCACTAACTTGATGAAGAAGGCAAGACTTTCCTTATAAAGAGAAGTCCACAGAAAAGAATTACTTCCATTAAGCCTTTTCACACAAATTAACCAGAAAAGCTTCAGAATACAAATGGGTTCCTCTTGATTGGCAGAGTCAATGCAAAAGACCACAGACAGAAGTTAGGCTTTATTCATATACTGTGAAACAGCATCATCTGGTGTCTCATACTGTCTGTTGCATCTTCCAGATCTGTTCCTTGTAAAGAATAAACAATTATTGCATGAATAGACTACACTAGTTTGGTTGAAGTGAGTATATAATTTAAGTCATTTCTAGTTCATTATAATGCTCTGGATTGGGCTGGAGATCATCCATTATGAGAATTATAATTGTTTTTGTAATCAAACAATTATTCTGAACAATTTGTACTCATTTGATTGGTTTTCTTACATATTATACTAACAATGTTATTTACAAGTACAACCTTAGTTTCTTAATGGCAAAACCCAGGTACATAAATGCTGTTTGTTCTGTCTTTGTAATTCCACATGTACCTATCCAACATTTATCTGTAATGGAAATGAAGTATAATTTCTCTGAAAATACTTCCAGTATTTGTGTAACCTCTGGAATCTTACAAGATGAAAATCCAGAAATACATATTATGGAAGCTAGTGGGGTATATTTCTCAGAAAGGACTGCAGCCTTAAGGAAAACTGATTCTTGCTGTTTTTCTTTCTTTCTTTCTTTCTTTCTTTCTTTCTTTCTTTCTTTCTTTTTCTTTTTTCCTCCCTCCTTCCCTCCCTTCCTTCCTATCATATCTTCTGTGTACAGAGTTAATTTTGGACTACCCATTAAAGTACTCTATACCCATAGATTCTCTTAATTGTTCTGTAGGACCTACTAATCTGGCACAAAAGAAGAAATTGGTTATGATGAAGTGGGAGATATAACAACTAAGTAGAATTTTCTTTTAAAATAAAAAAATGTAGGTGAACAATATGGGTGGGGGGAATTCAAAATGTTAAAGAGTACCCTTGGTGCCATTGAAACAATAGAGGCCAATTATTAATTTTCAAGATTTCATTATCAGACAAAATTGGTGCAGTCCAGAACAGGGGGAAGAGTTTTTGTTGATGCTTCATTTGTTGCCTTTCATAATTATATTTTGTTAGATGGAGTGAATGAGAACGTTGGTTCAGGCCAGGAGTACAGTTTGATTGGGCCCTCAATTTATGGCACAGGTGGTTGATTAAGTAACAACAGCTCCCCCCTCCCCCCTCCTCACCTGTAATTGGATTTTAATGAAACAACAGTTTTGGATTCACTGTATATTAGGGGTATCAGATCTCAGTTACAAAAATCCAGATGCTCACTAAATGGCAACAGTGAATTAGACTTTTGTGTTACCTCTTATATGCTGTGGATAAGGAAATTCGTGTTAAATTCAGATTTGAATACCTGTCATGCATACGATCATTGTTTTAAAAAAGAATGTCTTCCTACTGTTTCACAGCTATGCTCTCACAAAGTGGTGTACAAGCAAGAAGGCATAACAACCTTCATTGACACACAAGCTAATTATAAAATCAACTGAGGGCAGTTTTACAAAGAAAGGCATTTATTAGTTGATTAAGGCATGCGTAAAAGAGGCTTGGCACAATTCACAGGACCCATTTTCGGTGCATACAAGTCAATCTTAAGAGTCACCATGTGGGAAGGATTATGCTTAAGAACAACAATAATGATTGTCTTCAAATAAGACAATATGTCATGAAGGTGAAATCAGATATCAGTAAGATGACACATTCGTTTTTTAAAAGTGAGGCCTAATCTTGCATCTATTGAAATTTAATAATCAAGAAGATGTTAATACAATATATTTAACAGAAGGTTTAAAGTCAAACTATTAATTTCACTATATCACTGATTATCACTGTGAGAAAATGTCTTTCCCAAAGTGTTAAGGTTTTGCCAACAATGTTGATATGAATTTTCTCTTTTCAGAGAGTAATTGTGCTCTTCCTTAAGAGATTGTCCTTGGACCCATTAATTTTAGACAGTTATTTTCCTGTCTTCATCTTTCCTTTTTCAGGGAACATTGTTGCAAATGTGGTCCGTCAGGTCCTCCTTCACTTGTAGCTCTTGCTTGATATGCAGATGGCCAAGAAATCCTTTGCCCAGTTTTGCCTTTTCCTATATTGTAAGACCCTTCAGACAATCACTCACATCCTAGGCAATTCATGGCTTAATTGCCATAACACACTATACATGGGAGTGCCCTTGAAGATAGCCTCTCCTGAAAGGTATCTGCTTATCCCATTATGATAGATATTGCATTACGATAGATAGATATCACATTATGATAGATAGCTCCAGGTCCCTTCTGTAAAATCTTGCCATCTAGTGGGATTTCGGAAATGTGCCTTTTCAATGGCTCCCTTACCTAATGGAATATCCTCCCCCTGGTGATGCATCAGACCCTAATCTTCTAGCCTTCCAATACCCCAGGCACTGGGATAGACTGATGCAGTGTTTCTCAACCTTGACCATTTTAAGGCATGTGGACTTCAACTCCCAGAATTCTATAGCCAGCATTGCTGGCTGTGGAATTCTGGGAGTTGAAGTCCACATGCCTTAAAATGGTCAAGGTTGAGAAACACTGGACTGATGGAAGCTGTGGGATGGCTTTTGGAGCATTCTGGGAGGACAATTGAGACACTGGGTTTTTAATTTATGGTTTTCATAGTATTATTGTGGTTGTGAGCTGCCTAGACTTGTGGTTTAAGATGGGCAGCTATACAAATCTGGTAAATAAATAAACTTGTAAGGTTCAGAATGCAGTAGCATGGGAAGTGATGATCATGGTTGGGCTATATCACACATCTGCTTTGAGAGCTGCCCTGGCTACCAGTTTGTTTTTAGATGCAGTTCAAGATGCCCTACATGGAAGAGGACCTGGTTACTTAGGGGACTGCCTACGTCCCATGATATCAGCTTGGCTAGTTCAATCTGTCAGAGCTCGCATCCTCCGGGTGCCTCCAAGCAGTTCCACCTATTGGGATCCTGGAAATATACCTTCTCTGTTGCAGTGCCAGGTTTTGGGCTAGGATGTTGGAACTTCTCTCTCCTTCTCCCTCTCCCTCACCCAGGAAAGTTAATTTTCAAAGGAGGGGACTACCAGGAGTGTTGAAGAAAGTTCGGCCCAATTTCTACCTGCTTGATTTTATGTACTCTAGTGTGAAGAGAAAGTTTGTCAAAAGTGAATGGAATTCTCCGACGAAGTGGTCATATCAAGAGGACTGGCTCAAGAAACTGCAGACAGATTTTCCCTCAGGAATGGCAACAGGTGGCCATAGAGGTTATAGGAGAAAAGTTCTGATACTATTTTTCAATAAAGGGAAATAACCCTAATTTTACAAGTCAGTTACTAGGCATTAGTGATTAATTTTTAGAGGAATACATATATTTTCATATATTTTGATCTTGTTGTTCAAAGTAATCCTCTATCTTTGCAAGTAATGCTATACAAAGCTCAGAAATGCAGAATGAATTAAAGGTTTGAAATAAGAAAAAGAAGGACAGCTAAATCTAGACACCAACTGCATTCTCTATACTTCTCCAGATTTTGTTAGCTTTGCAAGCCATCCTGGTTTACGCCACAGCCACACAAATTTCATTTATTACCTTTTCTATATATTCCCTTGTCCTTGCCTCATGTGAAGGAGGAATTTAAAAATGTTGGCTTAGAAAACTTCTACCACTAGGAGTAGTCGTGGCCGAGTGGTTAAGGCGATGGACTAGAAATCCATTGGGGTCTCCCCGCGCAGGTTCGAATCCTGCCGACTACGGGCGTTCCCTTTTAATCCTGGCCAACTTTTAATTGGTTGGCCAAAACCCAGCAGGCAGAAAACAGGGCACGGAGTCAGAAACCGAGATGCTGCAGCCAACAGTTTAGAAGAAAGACGGAAGGGATTGTGTGTCATTTCTTCCGGGATCTCCTTCCCAGGCTTACACCAGAAGCAGCTGAGAGGCAGAGCTGGGAAATCGTGCACGTAGCACACGAGAAGCTACGGAGGGCAGGATTACCATGCAACCGGGCCCGGCGCCTACCGTGTTCGTCACCACGAGGTAAAGAAGACGGAGGGAGGGGGAGCGTTCTTAAGGCGCACCCGGTTGTATCAACTTCCCCGCTCCCGACGCTTTTCAGCAGGGTTCGCTCCGGGGCGTTGGGTTGGGTGGGGAAGGGAGGGAAAGAGACCGAGACAGGCAACTTGGAAAGCGCTCCCCGACCAACTCAGGACCTCCTTTGCCCATCAAATGAATGCCCCCGGCCTGGTACCGCCCCTGGGAACAGCTGACTGAAGCCAAGAGAGGCCGGCTCGGCGGAGCCGAGAAGGACCAACCAACCTATCCTTCCTCTCCATCGTCCCTATTTTTCTGACCCAGGAAAAATCTCCTGGCCCGCCCCTCATTGCATTCCTTTCTACCGCGGTGGGGCGCCTCCCTTTGCTTTAGAGTTACTTTTCGCCGCTAGGAGGAGCTGTTACTGCGTCTCTCTCTTCGCCTCCCCCCTCCCTTTCCTTTTCCCACAGATTCCTTGCCTCATTTCCCTAAGGCTGGCTTTATTAAACCCGCTGAGAGGTGTTTTTCTACCTATAATGCCGTTTCCCCCATCCCTTTGCCTTTTTGTCTTGGGGGGAAAAAAAACAAGAAAGACAAAACCTTTGGGCAGTACAGGTAATCCTCGACTTACAACAGTTCATTTAGTGACTGCTTGAAGTTACAATGGCACTGAAAAGAGTGACTTGTGGCTGTTTTTCACACTTGCGACCGTTGCAGCATCCCCATGGTCACATGATCAAAATTCAGATGCTTGGCAACTGGTTTATATTTATGACTGATGCGGTGTCCAGGGGTCATGTGATCAGCCTTTGTGATCTTCTGACAAGCAAAGCCAGTGGAGAAGCCAGATTCACTTAACAACTGTGTTACAAACTTAACAGTTGCAATGATTCACTTAATAACAGTGGCAAGAAAAGTCACAAAACTCACTTAACCAATGTTTTACTTAACAACATAAATTTTGGGCTCAATGGTGATGGTAAGTTGAGGACTACCTGTGCATGCTTTCTTTCTGAAAAGTCTTAAACTGTTGTCCGCTCAGGCGAAATTCACTTGGCTGCTCCTAAATGTATTGCCAGGCTCCGAAGGTGTTTGCCCACTAATTTTTGGGCTCTCAGGTTACTGTTAAAAAGTGCAAGGCCAGAAAAAGAAATAAGTTTGCAACTCTAGGTTTTGCTATTTTTATGTTGCCTTTCTTCTTAAAAGTAACTTAAAAATAAGGCTCCCGGTGCTCATTGCATGAAGTCAAAGTTGTGTTGTAACGGTGTTGCTAAAATTCAACTCCTTTTTTTTTCTTTGCCATCTTTCTAGCTGTTTCTTTATTGTGCTTCCCCAAAATCTGTCCTGAAAGTGACTGTGAGGTCCTAGCAAGCTCAAGAGACCATTTCTTTTAAGGAAACAGTTTCTTTGGTTGCTGAACTACAGTTCCCAGCATCCCTCATCATTGCACTGGATGATGGGGATTTAGGCTCTGCAGTATTTATAGAGTCATGATTTCTCCCCTTCCGGGCTGTGAGTTCCTTGATTCCTTCAGTCCAATGACTTCCTTTATTCGCCACTAGTGCAGACTTTCTTTATGTGTTGCAAACTTATACATCATATGTGGAAGCCAGTTTGGTCTACTAGAGCCAGTATAGTTTAGTGGTTAAGGCACCAAGCAGGGGACTGTGAGTTCTAGTCCTGCTTTAGGCATGAAAGCCAGCTTGCTGACATTGAGCCAGTCACTCTCTCTCAGCCCAAATCACCTCACAGGGTTGTGATTGTGGGGGAAAATAAGTGGAAGAAGAAAAATAAGGCAGGATATAAACAAACCTCTGTTAAACTAATGGACTGATATTTATGCACTGTATCTGCATTGCTTATAATATTGACAAAAATGAATAGGAAATTTGGTTTAATTCACTAGGATCCCTTCCTCGTGGCTATTTATACTGCACTGCCATCGGTATTTGCTGGGGAGAGTTTCAGTTTGTAGTCTCTCTCTCAGGGAATGGAAAATACAGGTAACTTCTTTACATGTAGTTAGGCTTAAGGTGAAGATGCCCTCAGGACACAGTATAAGGTGACGTAAACAGACAAATTAACTTTGCCAGTTATCTTGGCAACAACACGGACAAAAGTTTGCCACTGCATTTTCTGAGATGTTTTTCTGTTTCTATCCTAGATCTAACCAGGTTGGTATGAAAGGGTCTTAGTTGTGAAATACATACAATGACATACTAAAACATGCAGGTGTGGAAAACAGAACTTCACAGTCCAAATGGCATCATGCAGGAGATGTTCTGTATCACAAGATAGGTGTATGTGGAGGGTTGCAGGTTCTTGAAGGTAAACACATAGTTTGTGCTTAAGAAGTGATTTAAGAAAGTAACATTAGTTACTGATTCCCAGTTTATTTAATGAATGTTCAGAAGGAAGTATCTTTTTTTAAAAAAAAATAGATCAGACGCTTTGTATTGGCAGAAAATATTATTTTTTGTATTATTGTGGAGCATCAAAGAGACAAACTTGCCCTAAGTAAAATAGCTTCACATTTTCTTTTTTTTTTCCTCTCTTAAAAAATTCAAATTAGGCAAAGGTGTTTTTTTCAAAAGGCAGCTGGACTTTGTTTTTTCCAGCTGCCTTTTGAAAAAACACCTTTGGGACAACCATGACCTGGATGATTGGGAATATCTGCAGTCAAATTAGGCAACTATCCCAGGTTACTGCAGTAGTTTTTACTTCTAAATAATAATATCTCTCCCCCCCCCCAATCTCAAAACCTATGAGTCAGCAAAAGCCAGTGTCAGCATTAAGAGAACATGGTCCATCTTTGAAATTCATGTTTTTACCTCTGCAGACCTCTTCAGAATGGCCATACAGGAATAGATCTGTCAGTCCCAGAGTATCAAGAAATACGAGGAAAGATGATGTCTGGACATGTGGAATATAATATTTTAGTAGTTACCCAACTGGCTGTGTTCAAAACTGCCAAGCACAAACCCGAAGACAACGTTCAGTTTATGGTAATGAAATCATTTGGAAATGTATTTCATATCTAATTTTATTAAGAGTTCACATCATAACAATGAAAAACCAAACTTATTAATTTCATTCCAGACAACATACTTGAAAAATATATTATGAAAATATCAGACCAAGAATAAAAAAACGCAAATAAAATAAAAAGGGAAAAAATGAAACACAAAATAGAAATGTAGTAAAATCATTTATTTGTTTATTCAAATATATTTATTGGTGATTTTTGAAGCTTCATAGGTAATGGCAGTGCCACCAAAGTCCTTCCACAAGAGGCATGTGCCTGGCCTAGTTCTTAGCAAAAGGGTAACATTGGATCTGGATTATATCAGGCAGTATATGATGACTGGATGCTTTATTGCCTTGAACACTGGGTTCTTGGGGGAATTTTCCTCTGATATCCTTACATACTACACCAGTGGTTCTCAATCTTTTTAATGCCGCGACCCCCAACCGGTCGTAAGTCGAGGAATACCCAACCGGTCGTAAGTCGAGGACTTTCCCTGCCCGGGAGCATCGCGCATGCGTGGTGCTGCCCCCTGCACCGGCCGAAGCGTAGCTGGCAAGCGGCAAGGACGGTGCAGGCCAACCACCTCCACCCCTGGCCCTCTTTTACTTACAGTTTTAGTAGTTGCTCAGCAGGGAGGGGTGGCAACTTCCAGACAGCTCGCCTTCGCTGCAGACAACTTGCAGCACCGTTTGCAGACTGGGACTTTTGGTGGGCTCAGCAGGTCAGAGACAGCCTGGACAATTCCTATTGGCTTTTGAAAGTTAATAGAATTAGACTCTATTCAAGAGAGTCTATTCCATTGGCTTTCAAAAGCCAATAGAATAAAAGGGAGTAGCACAGCTAAGGAAAAGGGGAAAAAAATGGCGGACTGCGTTGTTTGGCAACCCCCGTGAAATGGTCGTTCGACCCCAAATGGGGTCCCGACCCAAAGGTTGAGAACTGCTGTTCTACACGGAAGGATATTGCTTGTTTTAGTAGAGGAATACTCAATCCTGTAAGATTAAATGTGAAATTTTAAATCCCAGTGTAAGAGTTAAAGCTGACTTGGAGTTACTCTTTACATAGTACATGCTGTAACAAGGACAACTAAAAGTCCAAAGTTAACTTTTACTAACTTGGAAGTACTCCAGCTGTTTGGACTTCAGTTCCTCGAATTCCCCAGGCAGTTTGGCCATTGCTAAGAATTCACAGAGCTCAGCCAACCAGAATGAGCAAGAGTGTAGAAAACCATTTGAAGTACTATGGATGGAAACTAATCAAAGAGAGAAGCAACTTAGAACTAAGGAGAAATTTCCTGACAGTTAGAATAATTAATCAGTGGAACAACCTGCCTCCAGAAGTTGTGAATGCTCCAACATTGGAAGTTTTTAAGAAGAGACTGGGCAGCCATTTGTCTGAAATGGTATAGGGCAGAGTCTCCAACCTTTTGGGTAACAGGGACCGGTTCCGTGGAGAGAGGTTTTTCCGTGGACCAGAAGGGGCGTGGTTTTGCGTGCTACTTGCATCCCATGGATCGGGCTTTGTTTGTGTGGACTGGTTGCTGGCATGCTGCGGCCCGGTACTGGTCCACGGAGGTTGGGGACCCCTGGTATAGGGTTTCCTGTCTGAGCAGGAGGTTGGACTACAAGATCTCCAGGGTCCCTTCCAACTCTGTTCTATTCTATTCTCTGTATTCAGTATTTGTTGATAATTTTCCAACAGTTGCCATAGGTTCCCAGCCGTCTTCTCAAATCATTTATTAATTCCTCTGAAAGTATTCTTTTCTTTGCATTAGGTTGTCAGGGTCGAGAAATCAGTGGCCCATCATAATCTTTTTGAAAAGCAGTCCTGGAAATAAGTGAGACTTTCTGAAGTGAAATCTTGTTGTGGTCTGCACTGAATCCCACTGTATCTGGTAAACTGCTGGTCAGATTAATAATTTAAATTTATAAAATTGCCCAACTGAACTGTTTTATAAATTTAAATTATAAATTTGTACATAGTAAAACAAAACCTGCATAGATTACATTAGTAAAGAAAATAAAAGAGGGCCATAATCTTGAGAAACAATCATACTACAACTTTATTAAACACAATCCTATTTAGATTTGATACACACCTCTGCCTAAGCCACAGCTTGGGGAAAAAAAACAAGGCTTTCAAAGTTCTTTGATGGGTTAATACTGTTGAGTCTTTGATGCTGAAGCCTTCGGGGTTGCGTTTTATGTATTGCTTTTTAGTGTATGCTGTTGTATGCGTTTTGTTGTGTGCTTCCCTAAGCCAATTAATGAGCAATATGAGCTTGGGTTTACTTTAATTGGAGAAATATTTGTTACACTGTTCTAGATAACCAGAACTGAGGAAGGACTTCACAAAGTGCTATTTCAGTAGTAGTGCAAGATCCCAAAATGTAAAGTACAACGCAACACTGCAGAGTAGTGTCATGGCTTCCAGGTTACACAGCTTGAGAAACACCACTCAGACCATAAGCACCTTCTGCCAGGCTATTTCATTCAGCTGTTTTGATAAGAATTTGAAAGACATGGATTTTCTGTAGCAAAATGAAGACAATCAGATTTCCATTCTTTTGATTGGGATAACATGGCCAGTTCCACTAGAGGGCACTCAAACACTGTTGAAACTCTAGTCCTGATGGCAGGATGTTGGTTTGAAATCTGAAGTAATGATTTCATGCTAGACAGAATCCTTGACCTTTCTCTGACAGTTGGGTAACATTTCGCTCTCATTTGAAACGAAAGGGTTTCAAATAAATAAACTTAAGTTTATTCTATAACAGAGGGTAAAAGGGGGTTTTATAATGTTGTAGAATAAGTTTTAATTTGGCAAACAAGCTACAGTTCAATGTTTGAAACAGACTGGACATTTGTTCTTTTTTCTCTGATGAGATGAATGCTGTTCTAAGCTATTGGAGACAATATGGCTCAATATAATGTTTAAAATACTGCTCTGTCTTGGCTTTCAGTCTTGTTTAGTTGCCTTTTAGCTACAAAATGGCTGTTCTCCTTCAGTTAGCTTGTAAATTATCAACGGACAATGGAGCCTTATAAAAAGTGTATGCTCTTTATTCAGAGTATTCTTTATGAACATTGCTGGAGTTAATGGTTGTAACAGATCACAACTCCAGAAAGAGGCAGTACAATCAAACAATGTCTTAGCTTAAGGAGACCTTCTTAAACAGCTTCTCTCAACGGGGTTCTGTAGAACCCTAGGATTTCACAGATCATGATTTTTTTTTTTTTTAAAAAAAAAGCATTGTCCTTTTTACTTCGTGTGCCACAGAGAGCTAAAATTTGCAGTGGTGGGAATTTTTACTCACCGTGACTCTGCTTACTTATCCTGTAAATGTTCTGTGAGCTGTAGATATCATGATTTTTATGTATTGTAGGGGGCTCCCTGAGACTTGAAAATTATTTCAAGAGCTCCTCCAGGAGAAAAAAAATTGAGAAAGACTGGGCTAGCTAGGGCCTCTGGTCCAATTCCTTGTTCGGTGTAGGAATCCATAAAACCATCTCAAGGAAATACCATCCAGCTCTCTTCCAGTGCTCACCACTGCTTTTGAAAGGCAGTTCTACTGCTTAACACTTCTTACTATCAGGAAATTCCTCAGTATTCAGCCTGAATCTTCCTGTTTGAAAAGATTTTAAACCATTGGTCTTTATCCTGCTTACTTTCAGCAGAGAACAGGTTGCCCCCCCACCCCCCTTTATGAATATGATATGTGTAGACTGCTGTCATATCTCCTTCTAATCTTCCCTTTTGCGATCTAAATGTGCTTGATATAATTGTTCCTTTATAGAGGATGGCTTCCAGAACCCTTATCCTAGTTGTTCTTCTCTGAACCCATCCCATTTCTCTTTTAAAGTACAGTTCCCCCAAACTAAGTACAAGACTCCAAGACAGGCCTTTCTAACAGTACGATAAAACTACTACCTCCTGTAATGGATGTAGTGTGCCCATGTTTCTGTGCACTCACCTTTTCAGCTCTTGTATTATATATGCTTACCCATGTTCGCCTGGTGATATTTCTTACATACACTACTTACCAAACCATACCTCTATAGTTCTGAACCTATGCATTTGATTTATCCTACCCAAATGCTGGACTTTATATTTATCACACTTGAACATAATCTTGATGGAACAGATTCAGGGCTTAATCTGTCAAAACAGCTTTGTAATGTACAGTAATTTAAGGCAAAACTCTTGAGGTTTGCTGCAACCAGTGAAAGTGATAAATATCTCTTCCATTCCATTCTGTAAATTATTTATGAAGCCACATTTTAGTCATGGAGGCAAAAATGGCCCTTTGGGCAGTAGTTTTTTTTTCTCTCCTTAATCTGCAACATGTGCAAGTAGGAATATACCACCCTATCCTTTCCTTCTTTTCCTTCTGCTTCTCCCTTGCCAAGGCAACTGAGGATAGGAATGGAGGAAGTTTGTCTTAGCTTTTATGAATTCTGAAAAATCTGACTGACCACTCACTGTCAGAAGCAAAATATTTATTTATGATAGTCTTTTGTATCATTCATTTTTTTTTCTTCCTTTTACTCTTGACTGTGGCTCTTAACGTGTCATATTAGATGGAATTAGTGTTGTCTTGCAAGACTCTTTGCCGAGTATATTCCCCACTTAAAAATCTATGCAGAGCCTGTAATCAGTAGTATTTTATTCTCCTTCCTGGGCCCAAAAGATGCTTAATGGGGGAATCACCCATCTTTTGTTGCAAGGGTAGGTAGCCTCCTCCCCTTTATTGCAGCTCACAGAGACCCCATGATTCTGCCAGCAAGGTTCCATGGGAAGGCGGGTGAATATATTTTAATTAAATCTGTAATGTTTTAAATAGTAATAAATCTGTTTTGCCCCTGATGTCATTTTTTTAAAAAAATAAGCAAATTCTCCAATTTAAAAAAAAAGCGGGAGACTGAAAATATTAGTCCATCTGATGATACCAGATTAATTCTGTCTGGCATGTGCCATGGGACTTAGCACTTGAAAAAAATAAGTTTTTGGATATTTCAAGTAGTTTTGGGACATATTTTGATTTCTCCCTCATACTAAAAAAATCTAGAAATTTAGAACTGATTTTCAACTAACCAGCTTGATTTTCATGCTTGGTTTTAAATCTGTTGCTCAAGCTAACAATACAGCTTGTGTTGTTGTTGTTAATTGCGAAGTCGTGTCCGACCCATCGCGACCCCATGGACAACATTCCTCCAGGTCTTCCTGTCCTCTACCATCTTCTGGAGTCCATTTAAATTCACACCTACTGCTTCAGTGACTCCATCCAGCCATCTCATTCTCTGTCGTCCCCTTCTTCTATTGCCCTCAATCTTTCCCAGCATTAGGCTCTTCTCCAGTGAATCCTTCCTTCTCATTAGGTGGCCAAAGTACTTGAGTTTCAACTTCAGGATCTGGCCTTCTAAAGAGCAGTCGGGGTTGATCTCTTCTAGGACTGACCGGTTTGAACGCCTTGCAGTCCAAGGGACTCGCAGGAGTCTTCTCCAGCACCATAGTTCAAAGGCCTCAATTCTTTTGCGCTCAGCCTTTCTTATGGTCCAACTTTCACAGCCATACATTGCAACTGGGAAAACCATGGCCTGGACTATACGCACTTTTGTTGGCAGGGTGATGTCTCTGCTTTTTAGTATGCTGTCTAGATTTGCCATAGCTTTCCTCCCCAGGAGCAAGCGTCTTTTAATTTCTTGGCTGCAGTCCCCATCTGAGGTGATCTTGGAGCCCAGAAAAATAAAATCTGTCACTACCTCCATTTCTTCCCCATCTATTTGCCAGGAATTGAGAGGGCCGGATGCCATGATTTTGGTTTTCTTAATGTTGAGTTTCAAGCCAACTTTTGCACTCTCCTTCTTCACCCGCATCAAGAGGCTCTTTAGTTCCTCTTCACTTTCTGCCATTAGAGTGGTATCATCTGCATATCTTAGGTTGTTGATATTTCTCCCGGCAATCTTAATTCCAACTTTTGATTCATCTAGCCCTGCCTTTCTCATGATGTGCTCTGCATATAAGTTAAATAGGCAGGGCGACAGTATACAGCCTTGCCGGACTCCTTTTCCAATTTTGAACCAATCAGTGGTTCCGTGTTCGGTTCTCACTGTTGCTTCTTGACCCGCATATAGGTTTCTCAAGAGACAAATGAGATGGTCTGGTACTCCCATCTCTTTAAGAACTTGCCACAATTTGTTGTGATCCACACAATCAAAGGCTTTTGCATAGTCAATGAAGCAGAAGTAGATGTTTTTCTGGAACTCCCTAGCTTTCTCCATGATCCAGCGTATGTTGGCAATTTGATCTCTAGTTCCTCTGCCTCTTCGAAATCCTGCCTGTACTTCTGGTAGTTCTCGATCCACATACTGCTGGAGTCTAGCTTGTAGGATTTTAAGCATAACTTTACTAGCATGTGAAATGAGTGCAATGGTGCGATAGTTTGAACATTCTTTGGCATTGCCTTTCTTTGGAATTGGAATGTAAACTGACCTTTTCCAATCCTGTGGCCACTGTTGAGTTTTCCAAATTTGCTGGCAAATTGAGTGTAGCACTTTTACTGCATCGTCTTTTAAGATTTTGAATAGCTCAGCTGGAATACTGTCACCTCCACTAGCTTTGTTGTTGCTCAGATTTTCTAAGGCCCATTTCACTTCACATTCTAGGATGTCTGGTTCGAGGTCAGTGACCATCTCATTGTGGTTATCTGGGATGTTAAGCTCATTCTTGTATAGTTCTTCTGTGTAGTTTTGCCATCTCTTCTTAATCTCTTCTGCCTCTGTTAGGTCTCTGCCATTTTGGTCCTTTATCATGCCCATCTTTGCATGAAACGTTCCCTTCATATCTCCAATTTTCTTGAAGAGATCTCTGGTCCTCCCTATTCTGTTGTTTTCTTCTATTTCTTTGCACTGTTCATTTAAGAAGGCATTCTTATCTCTTCTAGCTACTCTCTGGAATTCTGCATTCAATTGGGTGTATCTTTCTCTTTCTCCTTTGCCTTTCGCTTCCCTTCTTTCCTCAGCTATTTGCAAAGCTTCCTCAGACAGCCATTTTGCTTTCTTGCATTTCTTTTTCTTTGGGATGGTTTTAGTTGCTACCTCTTGTACAATGTTGCGAACTTCCATCCATAGTTCTTCAGGCACTCTGTCTATCAGATCTAATTCCTTAAATCTATTTGTCACCTCTACTGTATATTCATCAGGAATATGATTTAGTTCATACCTGAGTGGCCTAGTGCTTTTCCCTACTTTTTTCAATTTAAGCCTAAATTTTGCAACGAGAAGCTCATGATCTGAGCCACAGTCAGCTCCTGGTCTTGTTTTTACTGACTGTATAGAGCTTCTCCATCTTTGGCTGCAGAGCACATAGTCAATCTGATTTCTATGTTGACCGTCTGGTGATGTCCATGTGTAGAGCCGTCTCTTGGGTTGTTGGAAAAGAGTGTTTGTTATGACCATCGTATTCTCTTGACAAAATTCTATTAGCCTGTGCCCTGCTTCATTTTGTTCTCCAAGGCCAAACTTGCCTGTTATTCCGGTTATCTTTTGGCTTCCTACCTTAGCATTCCAGTCCCCCATGATGATAAGGACATCATTTTTTGGTGTTAATTCTATAAGGTGCTGTAGGGCTTCATAGAACCGGTCAATTTCATCCTCTTCAGCACCAGTGGTTGGGGCATAGATTTGGACTACTGTGATATTGAATGGTTTGCCTTGGATTCGAATTGAGATCATTCTGTCATTTTGGGGATTGTATCCCAGTATTGCTTTTCCTATTCTTTTATTGACTATGAAGGCTACTCCATTTCTTCTGAGGGATTCTTGCCCACAGTAGTATACCTGATGGTCATCTGAGTTAAATTCACCCATTCCTGTCCATTTTAATTCGCTGATTCCTAAGATGTCGATGTTCAGTCTTGTCATCTCTTTTTTGACTACGTCTAGCTTGCCTTGATTCATGGATCTTACATTCCAGGTTCCTATGGAGAAAAAATCTTTACAGCATCGGACTTTCCTTTCACCACCAGATATATCCACAGCTGAGCGTCCTTTCGGCTTTGGCCCAGTCGCTTCATTCTTTCTGGCGCTACTAGTACTAGCCCTCTGCTCTTCCCCAGTAGCATATTGGACACCTTCCGACCTGAGGGGCTCATCTTCCAGCATCATATCTTTTTTCCTTTTAGTACTGTCCATGGGGTTTTCATGGCAAAGATACTGGAGTGGTTTGCCATTTCCTTCTCCAGTGGATCACATTTTGTCAGAACTCTCTGCTATAACCTGTCCGTCTTGGGTGGCCCTGCATGGCATAGCTTATAGCTTCATTGAGTTACGCAAGCCCCTTCGCCACGACAAGGCAGTAATCCATAAAGGGGAACAATACAGCTTAAAACTCCTATATTCTCTAGTATGTTCTTTGTCTCTGGATCCAAAACAACCAATTGCTTGGGCATCTGATCACTGCCCTGATACTTGCCAGAACTCACAGAGGCATAAATATGATTATGTTCTTTCAGAGTATCATCTTACTGTAAGCTGCAAGTGGACTATAATAGTGTCTATTCTTTGGAATTATTATATCCTGATGTCACCAATATTTAGAATAATTTCTCCATCTCATCATTAATATTTGGAAGCATCTATTAGATCTTTTAGATGCCTACCAAAGACCCATTTCTCCCGAGCCTTTCCTCTAGATCAGAGATCCCCAACCTTTTGGGCACCAGGGACCAGTTATGTGGAGAGAGGTTTTTCTGTGGATTAGAGGGGGCATGGTTTCATGTACTGCCTGCATCCTGTAGATGGGGCTTTGCTTGTTTGTGCAGACCGGTTGCTGGCATGCTGTGGCCAGTACCGGTCCATGGACCGGGGGTTGGGGACCCCTGCTCTAGATGATAAAATCATTTCGAGAATATTAATAGTCCAGTATGCTGAAATCACCAAGTTCACGTACTGTAAGAATGGAAATCTACAGGAAGTGGCACAGAGCTACAGTGTTTTTGTCACCCACAGCATCACTCACGATTGGCAATAAATTGGGACTTTTACTTGTGTATATACTTTAAAATACAAACTTTAAAAGAGATCTATTAAACTTCTGGGAGGCTTAACCCATTTATGTAGTTTACGCAAAGTCACTAAAATAAAAACTGAAAATATTGACCCTACTTATTTCTGGTGTAAGGTAGTTGCCCATATATGATTTGTGGAAAATATTGTATTTTTTTTTTCAGAATTGTTAGTCTGATCTGTTACATATTTATGCCTGTCACTTAAAAAATGAATATTTTTCTCCCTACATTACAGGTTTCTAAGAAGTACAGTGATATTGATGAGTTTTATCAAAAGCTTGTCACACGTTATCCACAAACCTCTCTACCCCCCTTGCCAAGAAAAGTGCTTTTTGTTGGAGAATCTGATATTCGAGAACGAAGAGCTGCCTTCAATGAGATTATGGGATTGATTTCTAAAGATGTGGCTCTTGCATCAAGCCCTGAGTTACTGGAATTTCTGGGTAAATTAAAACAAGTTCTTCACACTGAGTGGAATTTTAATAAATGGATCAACTCTTGGAACTTTGCAAAATCAGCAAAATGTTTCCACTTAAAATCTAGGTTAAATTCTCATTGTCACAAATAACTAATGGACGATACTTTTGGTTTGCTTCCCTACAAATATAATACTACAAATACACAGAAATATGTTATCTGGATATAAGAATGTTAGTTTCAAATTGTTTTCTGGGGGATTTGGTAATAGAAATCTATGGTGCAAAAGTACCCTAAGTAAAATATATTTATTGCCACAAATTATTTATATAGTGTAGAAATGTACTGTTTCTCCCATAAAAAGGCCCATTTTCTTCCAGTATAAGAATACTGGTTAGCTGTTGGTGATACTCATCTAGAGAAGTAATAGCTGTCGGTTGTGCACTGCTGCATTAATTTTTCTCTGCCTCTTTTTACAGGAACCAGATCCACTAGTGTCATTGATGTTAAGAGTAAAAATCTTCCCAAGAAGGAAGAAGAGGATGACGAAACCGAAGGATTTGATTTTTTCAAAGAGGAAAAAATACCTGATGTCATTTCTCAGTTAAGTTCATTTAAAAGCCAGGATGCCAAAAAGGAAACAGAAGAGGAAGAGAATGATGTGGATCCACTGGGTGTCCTCAAGTATGCCTTTTCAATTTTGTTTTTCCTATTCCGAATCTATTTGTAGTTGTAGTTGTAAAACTCCAGATGACCAGGAAACCCCAAAGTGTTAGATTTTTTTTTCCTGCTCTTTGCTGTCATCAAAATTCTGAGTTTTTGCAGCCCAAATAGAATTCAGAATTAATTTCTTAAAAAGCATTTTAGAACTCCCAATAGTTGTTCTGAGGATTACTAAAAGAAATGTAAAATAACTGAAATAAAGGGAGGGGGAAGCATGTACTTTGCATACTGACTGGTGATTATGGATCCATACAGCCTTGGATTATGAACTTTGTACTCATAAATTAAGAGATTGCCAGTAAAAGAGTTGGAGCAAATTGATTATTTCACCTCTTTTGTAAGCCAACACAATCAAGGTTGTGGACAAATGAAATAAAAATGCAGAATAAAAGAAAGACATACAAATAATAGAAATCATCTAAATGGCCAGTAGAAACCTTCAATCTTTTGCAAAAGCATGGTGGAGTGGTATTGTTTTAACAGCTGTACAAATTATCAAGGGGAAAGGGATTGCTTGAACTTCCAGGGGCAAGAAGTCAGATGTTTGATATATGAAACAAGACAATTTTCCATATTTTATGGCAGCATCACTGCCCGTCAAATATTTATGTATTTACACTCACAAGCACCCTTCCAGTCTATAGTAAATCAAAAAGGCAATCCTAATATAGAAATATAACAACAATAATAATTTTTTTTAAACTGTCAAACTCTACCACTCATTTCTGTAACTACAACAATAAAAGACATATTGATGACAGGTCTTAAATAAATGCCCTTCTCAGCCACTCAGTTTTTAAAGCTTCTTAAAAGCTTGGTAGTGATAAAGCTTTCTGGATTTTTAGTGGGAGGTGGTTCATTGATTAAAACAACAGACATTTCTCCTGGATTTCACACCTCATGTGGGGGAGGAACTTTAAGCATCCTTAGGTTACTAGATCAGTAAGAACTACTTGAAGTCAGTGGCTGGGTAGGTACCCAAATGTTAAGCCTTGCAGGGCTTCAAAAGTTAAAGCCATTCTTAAACTGGAACTTTGAACTACTGTATACCTGGAAGTACTCTGGCAAAGTATTGGTATTAATATGTGAGCATTAGATCTTATTCAAAATGCAAGCTGATACAGCTTGCAGAATACAGAATAACAGAGCTGGAAGGGACCTTGGAGATCATCTAGTCCCAGGGTAGGCAACCTTGGCTCTTTTATGACTCGTGGACTTCAACTCCCAGAATTCCTGAGCCAGCATGCTGGCTCAGGAATTCTGGGAGTTGAAGTCCACGAGTCATAAAAGAGCCAAGGTTGCCTACCCCTGGTCTAGTCCAATCCCCTGTCCAAACAGAAGACGCTATCATTCGGAACAAATTGGTGTTCAGTCTCTTCTTAAAAACCTCCAATGATGGAGCTTGCACAACCTCTGGAAGAAGACTTCTTCCAGACCCCAGATTTAGAATTTAAATAATTAGTCCAAATAAACTTTCTGATCTAAAAGGTATAGAAAAAAACATTATTCTGGGATCACCTGCAGCAAAGAAGTAGCAGTCTTTTTCAGAATTTCATTTTAAGGCCATATTTTTTAGAGAGACGTGGGACTCTCTCTTGACTGTATAGACGTGTTCTATTGTATTTTTATTGTAGTGTATTTTTAATGTAACTCAGCCGGAAGTCCCTAGTAGTTTCTATCCTCCCATTTTTAAATGTTGCTTTCTATTTTTCTTTACAAATCTCTTATTTCTTTGTTGGATTTTTTTATTTCTTGCTTTTCACCTTTTTTGCTTTTGAAAATGTCTCAGTTAAACGAACATTCTTTTTAATTTTTCAAATAATACTGAAGCTTTTAGCAAGTGCAGTGGTGCTGCTTTCATCATTCTGTTGAAAATCCTGTGGCTGCCGATGAACAGGCTTAAGTGAGACAGAGAGGCTTTGGCGGGGGGGGGGGGGGGCAGGAAGCCCTTAGAATGCCTCTTTGTAGTTTGAAAGCCACGATTCATTTTAAGGGAAGCAATTAATTGCATTAGTATTGATCAATTCTGTTTTGAACAAGTGCCTCGCTTTTAGCCTTTGGTCATCATGCTGCCCTAAGCAATCTTGGTTTTTGAAGTAATTTCTAAGCCATTTTAAATGGTGGAAGGAAATGGGAGAACAGGCTTTTTGTGATAAATTTATTCAGTAACTAATATCCCGGATGATACCCTAAATAACAAAAATAAAAGATTGTCTTGATGTATAAATTGTAGTCTGCATCTCTTTAGCTCAGATGTGCTTGTGTTTTTCAAGTAGGTTGCTGCAGGATCTTTTTATTTTTGACAACCAAGTTACAAGCCAAGTTCTGAAGGTGGGCTGGCCATTATCTAGGGCCAAGTGACATCAGCCCTGGCCATTCTTCCAATCCCAGCCATTTGTCAAAACCACCACTGTTGGTTAGCAGCTTTTATCAATTATGATTTTCGCTTGACCGTGGCTTCCCTCTTTCTTTCTAAGCATGTGTTTTTATCTGGCATTTATACAGTAAAAATCCTAATAAAATTATAATAGAACCCTTAGTTTGATCAAGATACACAAAGTAAGTTTATAAACAGTTTCTCTACAAAGTATTTTATCTCCGAAAATAAGATATTATAGAAACTGTCTATAAATAGATATCTCCAAAAATAGGAGACATCAGGATTTATGAAGTTTTTCTGAAAAGGAAAGATATATGCCTTTTATGAAATGTGGTTGTTTGTTAAATTTCTTTGCCACCCAACTCCAACAGTTCTGGCAGCTTACAAGTAAAAACTTATAAAAAACAAAGAATAAAGAATAAATGATAGCAAAGATGATAAAAACTGGGCAGGAAGGAGGGAAGGGAGGGAGGGAGGAAGAAAAGAAGAAGGGATGGGGAAAGGGAAGGAAAAAGAAAAGGACAGGAAAAGAAACAGAAACTAAATACAAGAGGGTTTCATTCACTCTCCCTAAAGGCCTGGGAGAGGAGCCAAGTCTTCACGTCCTTTTGAAACACCAGCAGGCTGGCAGCTTTCTGGATCTCAGAGGGAACCTGATTACGGAGGGAAGGCACTGCTGCAGACAAGGCACACTTCCACTGTTGTGTCCTGAGCCTGCAAATGTAGGCCCGGGATGTTGCAATGGTCCCAGGCAGCTTCTGCAATGCCTGGGACCAGACTGAGTGGCGCTGGCTTTGCGCGCATGCGCAAGGTACAAAAAGTGCCTGTTTTGTTGCCATTGTGTCCGGGGATCTGGGCATATAAAAGGAGGCCTGCGTGCCTTTGCTCGTTGTTGGAGTTTTGGAAACTTCGTTTATTTGAAAACGAAATAAAGAGTTGTTCCTTGCAAGATGTGTCTTCATCATTCGCCATTACTGAGAGGACTTAACATCCATGATTCTGGAAGGAAATATGTCAGCCTTGACAGATCAAATTGGCTGGGGCTGGGCAAATACTATGGGCTGTGATTTCTCTGTATTCCCCGGTGAGACATAAATGTGTTACCAGGTAAATGGAAGTTTGTGTCATAGTGAACTCTTGTGTATATGGGCTGAGTCACACTGATTCTTTGGACAGTAGAAAAGTGGCTGGCTATTATCTTTTTTGGGGGAAGATTTTGCTATTTTCCAATCTAATCTACAGCCCTGAGATTTTATCATAGTTTCCCATCCAAGAATCACCCAGATTTGCTTAGATTTTCTCACAAGGTAATGAAAATGTTGAAAGATATGTATTTAAATCCACTTGAGTGCTGATGAGGCCTTGGTCTAATTTACACAACCCAGTGAGAGCCCAGCAAATACAGAAATACTTCTTCAGGCTTTTTTTTTTTTTTTTGCTCCTTACAGTACATTTTGCCATTTACTGTAAATGACAGTTTTCGTAAGCTGATAGGCAGAATGTATCTTGATAATGGAACAGTGGAAAATATCTACATGCCAATTCACAATAACCCAATAATTTTTCCCTCTGTGTTGGGGAAAAAAACCCTCCCCCAGGTACCAGGTAAAAGCAATTATCACAGAGTTATGGTGATTTTACAAAAATTGCCCTGAATATAGATGATCGTTGTGATTTAAAAAAAACCCATTAGAGTGCGCGTGCAGGGTTTGTTCCTGCAGTGCCAAATAGTACTTTAGCCCCAATTAACTTTCATTATTTCTTGTTTTGGTCTCAATGCAAGACTGTTCCTACAGTGGCAAACACTTTTTCAACCCCAGTTACTGTTGTATTATTTTGCTGGATTTACTCCTTTAGAGTTTAAGAGCAGAATGTATGCAGGGTGGGGAAATAGAAGTAACACATGAATAAAACCAAGTTTATATGCCTCGGTACATATATTTATCAAATTTATATAGTTGTCTATCTCATCAAAAGTGACTCTGAGCAGCACACAGCCATCTACATTAAGAAATAAATAGTAGAAAACAAATATACAAACCCTTGGGTGAAATGAGAGGTATGCAAGGTCCCTCTAACCATATAATAATAATAATAATAGTAGTAAAGTTGGAAGGGACCTTGGAGGTCATCTAGTCCAACCCCCTGCTCGGGCAGGAAACCCTACACCATTTCGGACAAGTGGCTGTCCAGTCTCTTCTTAAAAACTTCCAGTGTTGGAGCATTTACTGCTTTTGGAGGCAAGCTGTTCCACTGATTAATTGTTCTCACTGTCAGGAAGTTTCTCCTTAGTTCTAGGTTGCTTCTCTCCTTGATTAGTTTCCACCCGTTGCTTCTTGTCCTGCCTTCAGGTGCTTTGGAAAATAGCTTAATTCCCTCTTCTTTATGGCAGACCCTGAGATATTGGAATACTGCTATCATGTCCCCCCTTGTCCTTCTCTTCGTTAAACTAGACATACCCAATTCTAGCAACCGTTCCTTATATGTTTTAGCCGCCAGTCCCCTAATCATCTTTGTTGCTCTTCTCTGTACTCTTTCTAGAGTCTCAACATCTTTTTTACATCGTGGTGACCAAAACTGG